TTTTTGAGATAAGAGTCTCACTCTGTAGCCCTGGGTAGAGTGCTGTGGTGTCATCATAGCTCAAAGCAACCTCAAATTCTTGGACTCAAGTGATTCAACCTCCTGAGTAGCTAGGACTACAGACACCCACCACTACACCCAGCTACTTGTTTCTATATACTTTTTTTGAGACAGAGCTTCAAGCTGTTGCCCTGGATAGAGTGCTGTGGTATCACAGCTCACAGCAACCTCCAACTCCTGGGCTCAAGCAATTCTCCTGCCTCCACCTCCCAAGTAGCTGGGACTACAGGTGCCTGCCACAACGCCTGGCTATTTTTTGGTTGCAGCTGTCGCCTGGGCTGGATTCGAACCCGCCAGCTCAGGTGTATGTGGCTGTCACCTTAGCTGCTTGAGCCATAGGTGCTGAACCACTTGTTTCTATTTTTAGTAGAGAGGGGGTCTCTCTTGTTCAGGCTGGTCTCCAACTCCTGAGCTCAAGCAAATAACCTGCCTCAGCCTCCCACAGTGCTAAGATTACAGGTATGAGTCACTGCACCCAGCCCATATAACTCTTTTTTGTCAAATAAGAGTTTGAAGAAAACTCTTTCAAACAAGAATTTGACTCTATATTCCAAACATAAGGGGAACTGCAACTATATGCTAGATATGAACACTATGACTATTAGAGATTATATCTCATAGACCAAAAGAGGTCATAATAAAAATGAGGTTGTCATAATTGCAAATATCCTAATTATATACTTACAGCACTCATGCATTTTATTGACGCTCATAAAAAGAATGTAATATTGCTTAAGAATATTAAATTGTGGCAGCACCCGTAGCTCAGTTGGCAGGGTGCCGGCCACCTACACCAAGGGTGGCAGGTTTGAACTGCCTGGGCCTGCCAAACAACAATGACAACTATACCAAAAAATAGTTGGGCACTGTGGTGAGTGCCTGTAGTCCCAGTTACTTGGGAGGCTGAGGCAAGAGAATTGCTTAAGCCCAACAGTATGAGGTTGCTGTGAGCCGTGACACCACAGCACTCTACCCAGGGCAAGAGCTTGAGACTTGGTCTCAAAAAAAAAAAAAAAAAAAAGAACATTAAATTGTAATGAGGCTAAAATATATCATTAGATACAGATGTGCTCAATTTTAAATTAGGGTTTGGAAAATAACATTTTATAAGGAAACTTATATCTGTCTATCTTTATTTCCAATTGATAGTTCCTATTATAGTGACAAATAAGTTAAGATTCACAATTCAGCTTTTAAAAAATTGATCAGTCTTAGCTTTTTTTTTTAATACAAGAGAAGGAAAAAAGTCAGAAACAGCTTGTAATACAAGGCAATGAGATTAAAAGTTTAAGGGCACAAGAAATAAAAGGGAACAAAAGCAGAAAACCTGGCAATTAAGAAAATAATGTAACTGATTAGAATAATAATTGTCTAAATATCCATGCTAACCAAAAATGAGCTTGGAAAGGAAGAGAAAAAGGAAGAGGAAGACTAAGGCTCATACTGCATTTAAAAATCCCTAATTTTTGGCCTGGCACAGTGGCTCATGCCTATATTCGCAGCACTTGAGTGGCCAAGATGTGTGGATTGCTTGAGCTCACAGGTTCGAGACCAGCCTGAGCCATAGTGAACCCGTCTCTAAAAATAGCCAGGCAATGTGGTGGGCACCAGTAGTCCCAGCTGCTTGGGAGGCTGAGGCAAGAGAATCACCTGGGCCCAGGAGTTTGGGGTTGCTGTGAGCTATGACGCCATAGCACTCTACCCAGGGTGACCAAGTGAGACTCTGTCTCAAAAAATAAAAAGAGAATTGCTTGAGCCCAGGAATCTGAGGTTGCTCTGAGCTATGATGCCACAACTCTGCCAGGGGCAACAAAGTGAGACTCTGTCTCAAACAAACAAACAAACAAACAAAATCTCTAATTTTTCTTTTAATAATTGAGAAATATGAGGGCATGTCTGTTTAAACAAAAATTGAAAGCTCCTTAATTGTCTAGATTGCAATCATTAGATATCACAGCAAAGGATTCTTAGCATGTTTTAGCTTACTCTTCAGTGTTTTTTTTTTCTCTGCAGTTTTTTTTTTTGGCCAGGACTGGGTTTGAACCTGCCACCTTTGGTATATAGGGTTGGTGCCCTACTCCTTTGAGCCACAGGTGCCACCCCCAACTCTTCAGTTTTAAGCAATATTAAAGGTTCATTTTTCCCAGGAAAAAAAAAATGAGCTTGGCATTTTTTCTCCAGCCTATTTATATATATTAACAGGGAGAAGAGTTTTTTTGAACTCTAAACTTCCTCAATGCCAAAGTATACCTCAAAGGACAAATTCAACTGAGGCACAAATCTATAGCATTCAAATAGATTTTGATCTGGCTATTGCTTTTATAAGTGTAATTTAGAATTAAGGGTCTTATCCATACAGATTTCTTTTATCCTCAGTCTGTCTTTTGATATCTAGTCAGGAACTAATGATTCCTATAAGTAAAATCACTAAAAATAGTAAAATTAAAATGGAAAATAGATTAGCAAATTGGTCTTGAAGAACAGGCCCAGGAGTTGGAATTAGCACACTTTACTCGTACTGAATAGAAAAAAGGGCCACAACAGCCAAAAAAATCATTGAGTTTAACTTTACCATCCAAATGGCGCTCTCCATAAGAGCTCTCTGGAAACAGTCCCCTTAGATATGTTATACATGAGATAGAAGTAGCAAAAAGTTTCTTCACCATTATCAGTGACTCATGCTCGTTAGTGATTTGAGATGGAAAAACTGTTCCCTGGAAGAAATAAAAAGTGAAAAAAGATTAGTATTCTTTAGTATATTCACACCACTACCATAGCTATGATGAAAAAATGTTCTAACATTTCTTTTTTTTTTTTTTCATTGTTGGATTCATTGAGGGTACAAGAAACCAGGTTACACTGATTGCATTTGTTAGGCAAAGTCCCTCTTACAAAGCATGTCTTGCCCCCAAAAGGTGTGGCACACACCAAGACCCCACCCCTGTTCTAACATTTCTAATTTGATACTGCATGGGTAACCAAAAGAAAACAAAGCTTTAAAAACTGCATTCAATTAGATCTTCACAGGCAAGGCACAGCAGAAAGGCAAACAATTACTCAATAATTCAAGATTAAAACAGTTTATTTCACAATGATCCATGGATATGAAGCAAAAAAGTTTTTATTATGATTATATAATCTCCTTCCTTCTCAGAAAGTCCTCAGACCCCACTAGAATCTGGCTGTACTCCCCTCATTGTACACTGTTTTCTCCAAAGTCACCAAGTATTTCCTATCACTGACTTCTTCTCATTCCTCCTAATATAGGGTGACCAGATTTTAACACCTGTAAGGGGGGACAACATGGGGGGGGCAGAGTGGGGGCGGGGCGGGGGACCGGGCAGGCAGGGCCTGACAACAATGCAAACTTTGATAAGCAGTTCTCCATAATCACTTCTCAGCAATTATTTATAACAGTTTAACATTATAAAATTAACAAAAATAATATAAAACTCATATTCTGGCAAAATAGCCATATGGCGGCCGAAAACCGTATATTCCCTTCTTGTTCTCCAGCCCGTTCGTGCATTCTTTCCAAAAATCAGGACTTTTTTAAAACGCAGCGGGACGCTGGACAAATTGTTGAAAAGCGGGACTATCCCGCCAAAATCCGGACGTCTGGTCACCCTATCCTAATATGTAACTTCTTTGCAGTAACTGACTATTGCCCACATATTCTATTTTCTTCTTCAAGCTGCCATAACACTATTTTGGTTTTTTACCTATCCCTACACATCTACCTCAGTCTCTTTTATTTTTTCCAGTTGTTCTTCCTTTTAAATGTTGGTTGTCCCCAGGGTTCTGTCTTCAATTATTTTCTTTTCGTAGCTCTGTTCTTGGATAATTTCACCTAGTCTCACGGTTTCAGCTATGGTTTATACAGAGAGGACTTCAAGTCCCTATTTCTGTTCTGAATCTCGTATCTGTACTTTTATTTTCTGAACATCTGCACCTTAGACTACTCTTTAGATCCCTTAAATTCATTTTATTTCTACTACCTCTAAAACTGGATCTTAAGTTTCATTCTCAGACAAGTGAATCATCATCTACTCCAAGTCATCCAGGCTAGAAGCAGCTTCCTTTCTCACTAAATTCTACTAATTCGCCCTAAAAGAGTTCTCAAATCTGTTTTCTCCTTTCCCTTCCACAGCCACTACCTTGGCTCAGGACATACTCAGTTCTTTCCTTGGATATTGCAGTGGCCCCTGATCTCCCTGGCAATAGTTTTAATCAATCCATCTTCCATATTGCCAGGCGTAGTGGTACATGCCTGTAGTCCCAGCTACTTGGGAGGCTGAGGCAAGAAGATTGCTCAAGCCCAAGAGTTTGAGGTTGCTGTGAGCTAGGATGCTACAGCACTCTACCCAGGGTGACAGACTGAGACTCTGTCTCCAAAAAAGAAAAGTATTTTCCAAATATTGATGAATTAGACTATATTAACCTAAGAACATCTACTCATTGATACCCTATTAAGAGCAAAGAGGCGGCTCGGCGCCTATAGCTCAACCGGCTAAGGCGCCAGCCACGTACACCTAAGGTGGCGGGTTCGAATCCCCAGCCCGGACCCGCCAAACAACAATGACGGCTGCAACCAAAAAATAGCAGGGCGTTGTGGCGGGCGCCTGTAGTCCCAGCTACTTGGGAGGTGGAGGCAGGAGACTCGCTTGAGCCCAGGAGTTGGAGGTTGCTGTGAGCTGTAATGCCACGGCACTCTACCCAGGGGGGACAGCTTGAGGCTCTGTCTCAAAAAAAAAAAAAAAAAAAAAAAAGAGCAAAGAGGCAATTCAAGGATGGGAGAAAATATTCTCAATACATATGTCTGGAAAATGGATTCATATCCAGAATATATAAAGATCTCCCCAAATTCCTTAAAACAGACAACTTAATAGAATAGGCAAAGACTTGAACAGACACTTCACAAGAAAACACATCCAAATGGCCAAAAAACAAAATGTATTTGAACTTCATCGGGAAAATGAACATTAAAATCACATAGAACACTACACATCCATTAAAATAGCTAAAAATTTTAAATATCAGAAAATATCAAATGTTATTAAGGATGTGTAACAATCAAAACTCTTAAACATTGGTTGTGGGACTGTAAATTGGTGCAACCTCTTTGGAAAATTGCTTATATCTCATAAAGCTAAACACACACATATCCTATGACTCATATTCCACTCATAAGTGTATACCCAACACATATATTTACATATGTTTACCAAAGGACATATATTAGAATGTTCATAACAGCATTATTTGTAATAGCCCCAAATTGGAAACAGCAATGAGAATGATTGATCTATAACTATACTTAACAATACAGATGATTCTCACATGTAAGGCTGAGCAAAAGGAACCAGATACAAATGAATACTACTGTGTGATTTCATTTACGTAAAGTACTAAAGTAGGTGAAACGAAATTATGCTGACAGATGTCAGGATGGTGGTTTCTCTTGGTAGAAAGAGGGGATAACAAGTAGAAGGAAGCATAAGAGGAGGTGTTAGTACTAGTTCTATTTTTTTAACATCTGACTTTTGTTACAAGAATGTGTTGTTTGTAAAAATTCATTTAGTTGTACATTTACATGCATTTTATGTACATAGGTTCTCAGAAAAAAAATTTAAGTGTTTGCTGGTCAAATAAGTTCAGAAAATATGGTCTTATGCAGTTCTTTCAGCCAGAAATGCTCTTCCTTCCAGTCTCCAAATATGAAAATCTTAATTCAAATATTTATTTAATTTCAGTATAATCTAGCTATTGTTTTAGATTCTGAGATGCCACAGTGAACAAAACAGATAAAAACTCCCTCCCTCATGTATCTTACATTCTGTTTCACTGTAAAGATGATACTTACTACCAGCTAATATAATCTTTGAAGGCAGAGTGCCATGTCTTATTCCCTTTTGTAAATCCACTACCTAGCTGTCTGGCACATCTTAGCTGATAAATTAATGTTTGCTAAACTAAACAACAAACATTTACTGATTGCCACATATTGAGAATGCAAAGAGATAAAAAAAGATTAGCCATGTAGGATATAAGTACCTTTAATTTAAAAAACATGTATGGCTCAAGCGGCTAAGGTGCCAGCCACATACACCAGAACTGACGGGTTTGAATCCAGCCTGGGCCTGACAAACAATGACAACTACAACCAAAAAATAGCCAGGCGTTGTGGCGCGCGCCTGTAGTCCCAGCTATTCAGAAGGCTGAGGCAGGAGAATCCCTTGAGCCCAGGAGTTGGAGGCTGCTGTGAGCTGTGATGCCACAGCACTCTAACCCAGGGTGACAGCTTGAGGCTCTGTCTCAAAAAATAAAATAAAAAAACATGTGTGATAGCATATGTGGACATAAAGAAAGAAGGAAAAAGCCTTATAGCTACTAAGTTTTGTAAATATTTATCATTCATTGTTATTAGGTTATTAACTAAGACATGACTAATTTCCTTAAGTACTAAGTTTGACAACTGATATCTCTAGCATTGCACTCGGACACTTCCTGGGTGAGACTCGCTTGAGCCCAGGAGTTGGAGGTTGCTGTGAGCTGTAATGCCACGGCACTCTACCCAGAGGGACAGCTTGAGGCTTTGTCTCAAAAAAAAAAAAATCACATAGAACACTACACTAATGTTTATTATTTTCTCAAATGCTTGTTTTGGATTATGATCTCTCAAATTGTTTTCAGAGCAATTTTTGTGAAACCATGGATAAGTCTAGAATTCATGTTATTTTTTAATATGAGTTCCATCATGGTTGAGAAGGATGTGGCTAATGAATGCACAGTATGTCAATGGTTTAAGAAGTTCCATTCTGGTGATTTTAATCTTGAAAATGAGCCACGTGGGCAACCTAAGACCAAGATGGATAATGATGAGCTGAGAGCTGGTAGTGGAAGCAGATCCATCTCAATCTATGCATTAATTAGCAGCAAGGCTTGACATTACTATTCCAATAATATTGGACCATTCATTTGAAGTACATCAGAAAGGGTTCTGTGTGGCTCGGCGCCTATGGCTCAACTGGCTGGGGCACCAGCCACGTGCACCTAAGGTGGCAGGTTCGAATCCCCAGCCCGGACCC